GGTAACAACTTAGTGAGATTCCCCTCTCAAGAAATCTCTGGGAGTGTAGCTCAGGGTGAAGGTCCTGGGTGCAATCCCCAGGACCACAAAGACAAAAACAAGCCAAACTAGAGCGGCAGAAAGCTGGGCCAGCTTTTGCATGTGCATCTAATTGGTGCCATGTAGAGCTCTCATGTACCCTCAAAAGTGCAGAGCCTGGCACAGTACAAAGTGCCATCGGCTTGTGAGGAGGGTGGGGGTGCCTTGGGGACCAGAGAGGACCAAGCTGGCACCTGGTGCGGGCTGCAGGGGCCGAGTTCCTGAGGGAGACCTGGACAGAGGCTGGAACAGCAGAGCTGCTCTGGAAGCTGCTCTGGATTCCCCCGAGCTGTGCTCCCCGGGGCTCCCATCTGCCTGTCTTGTTTTAAATGTTTTGGCCAGTCATAAAAGGCAGTGATCTGAGTAGTACTGTACTGCCCCAGGTGTATTTGGGTAGGCTGTTGTTTCTGCTTCACACCAGGGAAGCACCTGACATGTCAAGGCCTTGATCTGTGTGTGGCAGGCTGGGTTCTCAGAGTGTCGTCACTTCCTGATGGCTCATTTTTGAGATGTGGTTGACTGTAAACGCAGGGTTTCTGCCACATTTTTAGCAGGACATTTAACTGGAAAAGGCATGTCTTGTATCTGAGTCCTGACATGCTGGGAAGAACTGTGTGTGCTTTGCCTGGAACAAGAATACCTGGGCAGAGCAGTGGCACTGAGGTTGGAAAAGCAGAATGTCTGGCGTAACCTGATCCTGTGTGTCCGTCTCTTCCTTGTAAATGTTCTGTAGTGTACTCAGTAAGGCAGTGGGTGTTGAGTGCTTGGTGAAATAGTAGGTGCAGGTGAACAATCTTGGTTTTTCATGCTGGGCTTTGCACCGAGCACAGGACCTCCTGTTTCCCTTCATCCACCTGCAGAGGAGGCCTGGTACTGACTTGCCCTGGCCTGACCTGTGCCTTTGGCGCTCTGCAGCCTCCACAGAATAGCGCTGCTTCTTACTTGTGCTTTCTCTGAAAGAACCAAATAAGTGACTTCCAGGAAACTGCACCTTTTCATAGGCTGTCCCTCTGTTCCCTGCGTCATGCCAGGACTCCCTGCTCTTCTTAATGGATATCCTGTACGGTGGGAAATCCCTAGGCCTGGAAGCCTGGAGGGGAAGCTTAGCTCACGCATTTGCGCAGGAGCCACTGCCCAGGGCCAAGAGCCGGGACTGGCATGTGTGTCTCCATGGCACTGTTGGGGCTGCAGGTGTGTAGCATGCGATGAGAGATCATTGTTTGCTGCATCTTTTTCACTCAGCTTGCTGAAAATCAAAAAGCAGATCCTTTAGAGTGGTGGTTGTGCCGGGGATTTAGTTCAGTGGAAGGGCGATTCCCCTGCGCTGTGCTCCCCGGGGCTCCCATCTGCCTGTCTTGTTTAAATGTTTTGGCCAGTCATAAAAGGCAGTGATCTGAGTAGTACTGTACTGCCCCAGGTGTATCTGGGTAGGCTGCCAGGCACTGCCGGCGCACATGCAGTCGTGAGTTCAATCCCCAGTACAAAATGATAAATAAAAATAAATTGGTTGTTGAAACAACGGTTTTATTTAGAGGAGAGTTCTTTAAAAGATAAATTCTGTTCTACCTTCAGATTCCTTTTTTCTTAGGCGTGCTTGCTATGAGTTATAGTTAATACATTTAACTTCCCTTTGTAAAAACTACATTACTAACTATTATTACTTTTGTACTGGGATTCAAACTGAGGACCTCATGCTTGCCAGGCAGGCACTGTGCCACTGAGTTGTATGCATAGCCAACAGCTATATTATTGAATTTCCCTTTCTGCCTGTAAGCTTGTCGAGGGCATCTTGGTGGGCCGCTGGCATTTTGTAGCTGATCTGACTTGGGCCAAAGCACGCCCTCTCCTGGCCATGCTGGTGCCACGCGGCTCTTGGTCTCTAGTACTGGGGCTTATCCAGCCGCAGAGCCCTCGAGTTACCCACAATAAACTCATAAAACGTCTCCCGAAGTTTGCTCTTATTTTTAAATTACTTTTTTTAAAAAAATGGGTTAGAAAGAACTCAAATGACTGCTCTATTTTGTTAACTTGGTTTTTTCTACCATAGGTCTCAACAAATGGCAGCTATTACATCAGACAGTGACGAGTCCTGCTGCTCCCTTGCAGTGTCTGACAGACCACTGTGGATTCAGACTGGGAGCAGTGAAGTTAACAGTGAGACGGGCAGGTCTGTCTTTTTAAGCCCTGCCACGCAGTGCAGCGGGCATCTGTCATCACTCAGTCGTGCCTGGAGTAGACGAGGCTAGCCTTGCAAGCGTGCTCTCCTTTTTCTCTCGTTTTTCTTGACCTTGGTAGCTGGCTGTGCATCACGAGGTGATAAAGTGTTACAAAGAAAGCACGTTTCAGTGGCACTGCCTGCTGTGTTGCCAAGGAGGAGCTGCTTGTGAGTGTCCGTGACCAAAAGGCAGTGTTTCCTAGGTGGAGGAAGCTGAGCACTGCAGCTGGTCTGCACGGAAGTCAGACACGGCTTTGTCTGTTCACTGTTTAAATTCTTCTTCACTTTTATATGCTCTCACTTTGTAGTTGTTACTTTTTATGTGTATATGAGAATACAGTGGCACCTTGGCTCACGGACTTTACTCTTTCCACAATTCTGGTTGCAAACCGAGTTGAATGAGAATCAAATCAAAGTGAATGGTTAGCTTGAGAGTTGATCTGATGAGGAAATTTGATTTGGTTCTCATCCAGTTCGGTTTGCGACCTGCATTGTGAGAGCTGAGTTTGTGAACCTAGTCATCACGGTATGGAAGAGTACACAGGTATTTATTTCATGTATTCCTACTGAGTTAATCTCAAAACATTGCCATTAATGTAAGGTTCCAGAGGGTGGTAAAAGATAATATCGAAATGCATTTCAAATTTATTTCTTTAAGCACATTTTTAAAAATAGACTGCTTTGATAATCCTTAAAAGGCTTATGTTAGACTCCTGCATAGGTTTGGGAAAGACTCAGGGATTCTGTTGTTACACTCCTTTTGAACTAGCAATCTGTATTGCTTCTTTAATAAAAGAAGGAAGTATTTAACCTTTCCCCTGTGGTAGGGGGTGTTTGTGTGGGACAGAAGAGGCTGTGGCTGGCTTCATCTGGATAGGGCGGTAGCTTCCGGAAGGTGATCTCTTGAGGGAATAGTGCTCTTGGTTTTGTGTGCATCTCATACTTGGCTTTCCTGTTCTGATCTCCAACTGAAAAGGCCTCATTACAGTTTAGAGTGATAAATAGGAGGAAATGAATGCTATTGGTATTGGTGTAATATAATGGTATTGGTCTTTTTTTCTCCTTCAGTTCATCAAATGGAAACATTTGCTTCTAAAGTTCTACGTAAGTCTAAATTGATTAGCACTGCAATCATATTAGTTCAATATTTTACTTTTAGAAAGTGGAAACTTTTCTCAAAACCCAGTATTAAAAGTGTGAATTATCCTTTTTCTGTACTTACTTTTCACGTTGATGTGTGTGCCTTTATGGCGAGAGTCTGTATTCTTTCTTTTCTTTTTTTCTGGTACTGGGAATTGAACTCAGACCTTGTACTTGCCAGGCAGGCGCTTGTGCCACTGAAGTCATTTTTCACTGTACTGTTCCGAGGGATGTCATAGGCCTTAATCCAGGAAGTGAACGCAGTGCGGCAGCGCTGGGCAGTTAACGTGAAGTCAAGGGTTCTGTCGAGTCCAGGAAAGACCTGGGATGTCTGAAAGTTAAGTATGGGGAACGATGGGGTGGTGTTTGCTGTCTTCTTTTTTGCATCCCGTTGTTTTGTGTGTGCTCATCCCACTGATGCTGTGTCTTTGGTTTACAAATGGATTTGACCAGAACCCCCTTATGTTTTTCTGGATCACTCCTTTTGGAATTTAAGCTTGTGCTTGTAGTTAGGGTCCCAAAGTGAGAGGTGTAACGGAGGGTTGCTGATACGGGGTGCTGCGATCGTGCTAGCGGGCAGTGTGTGCCCAGAGTCTGCTTTTTGTTGGAAGCACAGTGAAGAGCGTTGTGCCGACGACCAGGTTTGCTGGACCTGGTCAACAAGGGACGCCGCGGTCCGTCTGAGCAGTGTGAGCGGGGCTCTACCCAGATAGCGTTCTTGCTGGCTGCTGCTGTGCAGTGCCTGCGCATCACTGTCCCAGGAGAGCCACCTCCACGCCCCGCTTTTTTTTGTTATGCAGTATAGACTATGGTCTGTGGCTGACTTTTACACAGCTGGTTCTGTATACACATTTGCTTCCTAAAATTCCAGGGTAGTCGGGCCTGGTGCTGCTTCTGTAACCCCAGCACTCGAGAAGCTGGGGTAGGAGGGTCACCAAGAATTCAAGCCTTCTAGGACCACATAGTGAAATCCTGTCTCAGAAAACCAAAGCAAGCCAAACCCCAGCAAAACGAAAAAAGAAGCGAGATCACAGACCAGCCGTGCTCCAGGAAGTGGTGTTTCCTTGCAGGCCAGACCATCTACCTGACTTATGGTGGCACCGAAAGAACAGCTGATGCAAGATGCTGGGCATTGTGACACGCACAGGTCACCCCAGCATTTCGGAAGCAGAGGCAGGAAGATCACAAGTTCAAGGACAGCCTGGACTACTTAGCAAAAACCTTGTCTCACAAAAGAGGGGGAAGAAAAAAAAAGGAAGTGAAAACAAAGGACAGAATTAAAATTCCCTAGTTATTAGGAAGATATTCCTAAGTAGCTATTTAAAGACTCAGATGTGAAAGTGATAGCCATTTCACTTTTATTGGCCAGTTTTACTTCAGAAATAAATGGTTTTGTTGGTTTAGAATGGCAGTAAGCTGCCTTTTAGTTTAATTGATTTAAAAGAAAAAATCAAGTGTGATCCCACAGGCTGTGTGGGGCTTAACTTAAACAGCAAGGACTACCTTTTTCCTCCTTTAATGACCTGGGTTTAACTCCATTTTCTCCCTTTTGTTTACTATATTTCAGCACAGAGACATTAGCAGCCTGCTGGTTTCATGGACCTGTACCACAGTGACAGAGCAACAGCACATCGGGACTGAATGAAATCGGAGATTTTTAAAGCTGTACTAGGAGAGAGATGTTAAGGCAGTGATTAAACTAACAGTCTGTCAAGGGGCACTCGCAAACCTTACTAAACCAGAGAAAAGGTACTAGGGCCTATGTTATATGAAATAAACTTTCGCAATGGTTGAGGCGAGGTGCAAAGTGACACGCACACACAGATGAGAACAAACTTGAGTAACAGGTCAAGAATCCCTGATGGAACTTCTTTTGAATGTGAAATTATTGCAGTACAATTTGGACACACCTAAAAGGCACAGAAGGTGCAGAAGCGTGGAAGTATCTCTTGTATTTAAATCGGCCTGTCCAGCAGTTGAGCCAGGAGTGAAGGCATTTCCCAGATGGTCTCCTGTGCAACAGCAATAGCCGCTGAGGCCCAGCCTGCGTGTGCTGTCTCGCCGGCACAGCATTACCCTCCGTCCTGCTGAAAGGATGCCAGTGCCCAGCCCTCCACACACCCGATCTGGCTCTTCTGTTTGTTTGATAAAGCAGGGCTGTATTATCTTGAATATATGTTTGCTTGTTAGAACATATTAAGATGTATTTATTTGCCACTAGTATTTAACATTTTGTGCACATTTTCATAACTACATTCTTAGCTTTCATATTTTGACTCCAAGTGAATAGGCTAGTGTTGATCTTGGAGCGAAAATGTATACTCCAGGAGCAAGTTCTTAATCCTACTGAGCTGGAAGAGCTTCCCCATCGTCTGTCCCTACTGATGTGCCGTGTTCAGAAAAGGCGGCGGCCGCAGAGATGCCTGGTGACCTTTCTCTCCACAGCGAGCCCTTCCTGCTAAGTGCGAGAACCCGCCTGGGTGTCTGGGAGACTTGGCCCCCGGCGTCAGTACCGACAGCCTGTACTTTTTGTGCATCGAACAAGAATTCTTACTAGACCTGCTTTTTCTTACCTTTGCTAAATACATATTGTGGGAAACTGTAATTTTTCTTTTTTAATGAACAGAGAAAACACAAGAAAACCAGATGGACCTGTTACTAGTACATTTTTAAGGCATTTTATATTTGATGGTGCCGTACTTTTAATAATAAAACTGAAGTTTTTTAGTGGCAATACTGATTTATTTTTTAAACCAGAAAATTCCATATTGATTACTTATTACAAAAAACAAAAAAAATGCCAAAAAATGAAAAACTACAGAATTCCTTTGAAGCAACAAAACAGGTAACAAAACACTTGGCTCTGGTGTTCAGACTCTCCACGATCATCCAGTGCAGGTGTGGAGTTACCTGACAGCCCTGTGCTCAGGATTAACCAGGTTCAGGGTGAGAGTTTCAGACCACTTACTGTAGCTGACTGTGACATGTTTTACAACTCAAGCAAGCAAGCAGCCTTGAGTCTAGTGAGCCTGATGTCAATTGTAATTACACAGCAAGTAGCTTAAAAAAAAAAAGGCCTGACTGCATTCTAAAATAGTCTTTTGGAAAACTCTATCATGAAGTACATAGATGTATTTTGTCAGCTTGGAAACCGTCCGCTCAGGAACTCCAGCAGCAGGGAGCTGTGAGCATGGTTTGTACTATGGGGTGCCCTCCCGACGCCTGGCACCAGCAGTACCTTTCGGGCTCACTTCAAGAACTCCATAACTCCCAAGCCATGGTGACACCACACATGGACTGCAGGTTGAAATTTTACATTAAGCTTTAGAATTCTTTATTTGTGTAGAGTGATGGAAGAAACTGAGAAATAATAGTATAAAGACAAAAGAACTGGGAGAGATCAGGTTTTAAATATCTATTTTTCCTCATGGCAAATTCTCAGAGGTGTTTCGTTGCAAACCATGTATTCATTTTTTAAAAATGAAACTTGGTATTTAAAAATCTAGGCCTACCACATTACAATTTTACTTCTGTTGCTTTAGTTGCTTAATATTTAAGCTTTGCTTCATGCTACCTTTTGTCTGTACTTCAAATCTTCACGAGCCTATTTCATTTTGTAGACTTGAATGACAAAAATTGTTTCTCATCCTAAGTATGCTCAGAGTTCAATGTTGAATGTTGTGTAACCTTTATCCAATAAAATCTTTGATTTTTTTAAAAATTTAGTTATTTAACATTTGTTTTACTTCATAGCAGTTGGTTTTTCAGTTTTTAGGAGTTTGCTTTTGTTACTTTCTTTTGAGGAGTTCATTTTTAAATATTATCATTTCTTAGCTATTAAACTCAAACCGCTCTTTGCCCCTGAAGAAGCAGTGTGTTTGCTAGGCCTCAGGGCCCTCTGTGGGGGAGAGGAGGGGGTTGGCCAGTTCACTCAGAACCCTGTGCGCACCACAAGTGCTTTTTGGATGGAAATAACCTTCCCCTCAGCAGTTGGATATAATTAGATGTCTCCTGCCTGGTGGTTTATTTTGCTGAAACTTGAAGGAGTTCTGTCTACCCGTATGGGTAAATGGATGCTTCCTTCAAACCCATTATATCTGACAGGATGTTACCATTTTACCTGAGAAACAGAAACACTTGATTGCAATGGGAAAAGACTAGTCTCTTAAACCCTGTCAGACAATTGGGATTCTTCAGAACTTCCCCAGAAATGGAGGTCTGTGCACCCCTGTGCCCCCCACTCCTCAGGCAGCAACCCTTTAGAAGGCTGCCTGTTTTCCCGAGGCACACACAGGGTCTCAGATTCACACATTCTCCCACTTCACTTTCTGTTCTTTTTTTGGTACTGGGCATCGAACTCATGACCTTGCCCTTGCAAGGCAGGCCTTATGCTGCTGAGCTAAATCCCTGGCCCCCATTTCACTTTCATCTCAGGGTAAAACCTGGTCCTAATGCTTTTTCTTTTGCAAGTTTTCCACTAACGATAAAGGAATTAGAGAGAACCCAGGAAAGCCAGCCCCGTGCCGCTACCTGGAAGGTTTCCGAGGACTCCTGATGATGATGTGCGTACCGTTTGCACAGCTGCAGGACGCAGGGAACAGGCACTAGATGAGATGGGTATAGCTCGAAATACTGACACTGGTCTTGCAATAGTAGTTCACGCTGGCCTTGAATTTGTGATGATCCTCCTGCCTCAGCCTCCTGAGTGCTGGAATTATAGCCTGGTGTGGAAGTATAATTTCTGATTCATGCTTTGGAATCGTGTGAGTTGTACAAGTTCCTATTTGTCATTTAGTTCAGGTAAAAGTACAGCATTTTCCTACTTTCCTTCCTGATAATTCAGTTGTCCTTTGAGTGATTTCTACCCCCACCCCCAGGGTCTCGCTATGCTGTTCAGATTTGACCTATGTAGCCCAGGTAGGCCTCCAACTTGCAGCGATCCTCCTGCCTCTGCCTTGCAAGTGCTGCAATTATAGGTGTGCACTACCATGTCCAGCTCTGCTTTCTTAAAATGTAAAAGGGCTGGGGATGTAGCTGAGGTGCAAGACCCTGGGTTTAATCCTCAGTCCCCCATTCTACTCCACTGACATTTTCAAAACAGTATGTGAATTTAATGATAGCTCAGAGCCATGGTATAAAATAAATTATCCGTGTGCACTTTACAGAGACAGCTGTAAGTATGCATTTGTTGAAGCAAAAATCCTAATTTTCTGGGTGAACCTTCGCAGATGCTCCAGGCAATGAAAAAATTGCTCATGTGAAATAAAGATGCAAAAACTTGAGAGTAGGTAGAAACTGATTTAAAGGTGGGGGGCTGAAACTAAAGGACAAGTGAGGGATATTAAAGGACAAGTGAGGGATATCTGAAAGCCTCAAGCTACGTCCTTGTCATAGCCAAGATGTGAAAATGAACTTTTAAAAAAGCTGGGGATTTAGCTCAGTTGGTGTAAGTCCCTGCCTGGCAAGTACAAGGTCATGAGTTCAACCCCTGGTACCAAAAAAAAAAAAAAAAACACCCAACCAAAACAAAACAAAATGAACTTTAAAGCTAGGAGACAGAAGCTGATACGAGAGTTTGAGTGTCTGCCACCCTAGGACATTCTGTGTGCTGACATGGGCCAGCCTGGCTTACAGCGGCCCTCGGACAAGTGCAATCAGAGCTTTACGGCTGTCCCCAAGTCACCACTGAGAAACCAGCTGAACTCCTGCACATTTGCCAGCTAGCACCAGACAGCAGGGCCTGATGCCATCACGCTGCAGAAAGCTGACCTGCGTAACTGGGATCGTGAAGCACAGGGTGCTGCGGCCGCCCAGGGCAAGAGGGAACAGATGGTCCTTGGCCTTGAGGAGGTGAATTCAGCTGCTCTTTTCCACTGTTGCCCACTGTGGTCTCTGCGATGTGGCAGCTGGCTCTGCAGGCCTCCTAAAGTGACACGGGTAATAAAACATGTTTGGAGATGACCGGCTCCTACTTATCTTGGATGGTGGTAGATGGCCACCCTAAGCTGCCTCTTCTTGAAGCTTTAGTACCAACTTAGTCACTGGCAGAGTAGCAAGTGCTGGTGCTAAGCCAGAAACCTCACTGGGCGCTGCTCAGGATCAGCGGCTACTCTGTGACAGCAGCAGGGAAACGGCAGTCACGGTGTTAAAAAGAAGCGTCTCAGGGTTGTCAAAGCCATTCTAAGAGAACAGAAGTATTTTGCTCCACTGCGGTGTTGGAGTAAGAACACAGAGTGCAATTACCTTAGAAGTTCTGGGGTTGGAGTTTCCCTCAGTGGTTGGGCACGTGCTTACCACCCTGGCACCAAAAGAAGTAAATGCTGGTCTACAGTCTTTTGGTGGGGGAAAGAGGGCATCATACAATTTTAAAATCATAATACAGTCCAACTCACCAAAACAGGGTTAACTTTGTATTGCAAACATACACTGAAAGTAAACAAAAAAATCCTCCGAAAACTAAGCTGGGTGAGATAGCACACACCTGTAATTCTTGCACCATAGGAGGCTAAGGCAGGATGACAAAATTTGAGTCCACCCTGGGCAACTTGGGGACTGCATAAGACCCTATCTCAGAATTGGGGGGGGGGGGGAAGGCTTGAGCCTAGGGCTCAGTGCAGAGGCCCTGGGCTAAATCTCAAGTATTGTAAAAACAAAAAAAGCTGTAACTTAAGAGGTGGACTGCCTGGGTTTGATACATACAGCCACAAAAAAAAGTTTGCAGCATTAAAAAAGGTCATCAGTCCTCTCACTAAAGTATGTCTTTGCCATAGAAGGCATTTTCATAATTATTCATATTAAATGAATTTTTACTTTCAGTGTATGTTTGCAATACAAAAGATTTTTTTGAGACTGGATCTTGCTATGTAGCCGGAGGCTGGCCTTCCTCCTGCCTCAGCTTACTGAGGGCTGGGATTACAAGTGTGCACTACCCCTTTCCAGCCCAGAAAGTATGGTTTTTTGGTTGATCAAACCTGGGTCTTGTCCATGTCCCCTTCCCACTGAGCTACATCTCCTATCCTTTTTTTCCCCAAGAGTTTAGAAGGAGCCTAAGGTTAGGGTTTAAAAATCATTGGTCCAGCAGAAGGCTGGCTGCACAGGAAGCACCTAACCAGGTGGCTTTTGGCCTGTACGTGTGGGTGACTTTTCAGGTTTTTTTTTGAAAGCTGGATGCCAGGCTTAACATAAGACGGCAAACAGAAGTTAACCATGCTCTTTTGACCTCTCCGCTTCTCTGATAAAACTCCATAAGGAACAACACTTCAGTCCGAAAGCCCATTGTCACAAATCAAGAGTTCAGGTAACTTTGTCCACCAGCATCCCACAGGGGCTTCAGGAGCAAATCGAGAGCATGACTTCACCGCCAGGGGGGAGCTGATCACTGCACGCCTCTGAGAGAATCACATGCCGTTTGTTCCTCAATTCATCCTGCACGTGACTCCTGGGACACCCAAACCAGAACTGAAAGCTTTTCACTAGCACCATGCATGACTATGAAAAAACAAAACTCTTCCAGAAACCATAACAAAACCATGGTCTTGTTCTGGACTTACTATCATTCCGAAATAAACAATTTAATCATTTATTCTGGCCTTTCGAGACAGGGTGTTACTATATAGCTGAGCTGGTCCTGTGCAGCCCAGGCTGGCCTTAAACTCCAGCAATGCTCCTGCCTCAGCCTCCTGAGTACTGAGTACTGGGAATATGGGCATGTGCCACCATGCCCAGTCTATTTTTAAACTGAAATTAAGATTAATGATTGTTTGCTGGGACGGAGGGTGGTACACACCTGTAATTGCAACTACTCAGAATGCAGGCAAGAAGACTAATTCTGAGGCCAGGTTGTACAACTAAGTGATTCAAAATGAAAAATAAAAAGGGCTGGAGATGTAGCTCAGTGGTCAAGTGGGTTCAGCTCCCAGTACTAGGTAGGGGACTAATTTCTGGTGAAAAGCACTGGTTTCATAATTATTTGCATGGGCCTGAGATAGGTCTGTAAGATACAAATTTTGAATTCTGGTACATTCTACTCAAGACAAATCTGTAAGGAAACAACTAGAACTCTCAGACAGATCTGTAAACTCATGATGGGCAGCCCTGCTTGAAGCCAACACTCCCTCCTAAGCCACAGAAGTCGGCTTCATCTGCTGGGGCTGGGACAGATACAAAATGCAGAGGCTGGCCCAAATGGTCACAGAAGCTTTATTACTGGGGAAAGTGGGGGCGCCAGCGAGCCGACACGCAGGCTTGAAGTGAGTGTCGAGGCCAGCCTTCAGCAGGGAGGCAGCAAGCTTCTGGTGACCCTGCTGCCTCGCCCGCTCCTTGGGAGAGACCTCTGCCGGGCTGGTGGCTGTGGGCTCAGGCCAGCCTGGATGGGCAGGCACAACAGCTGCAATAGCTCCGTGAAATGGAAAGCAGATGTGGTGCCTGGCGCTGGAAGCAAAACGGCACCCTCACGAGGAAGGAGCAGAGAGGTGGCACTGGGCTCTAATGGGTGGCTGTTCTGTCAGGTAAGATGCTCTTGACAGTTAAACACTGGCAGGGCCTGGCCCCCTGCGAACAGCAAGCAGTACACACTTTCTTTTAAAACTGGTTATCTATTATTGTTTGGATTTTGAACAAAATTGATGGAGTAGGAGCCAGTAGAAGAATCTTGCTTGATCTGGAAATTTTCTGTGGAGAGGCCAAAAGGTCGGAGAACCAAGTTCCCAAGATCTTTTAGTTTACCTGCAAAGTAAAAGCAAAAACTCAGATGAATACAGGGTGAACAGAAGCAAGAGGCCACCAGCTGATCTGGTGCTCCTGCCCGACTGTGACAGGAGAAGCAGCCCTCTGCAGTCAGACATCCGCCTTTGATATCAAGAGGCCTTTCAGGAACACAGGTGCACAAGCAAGTTCCTACGGAGCACAGATATTAAACATTCTGCGAGCTGGCTGGCGTGGGGTGGGCAGAGAACAGGGATCTTGTGCGATCTCTGAAAGAATTTAATTTGAACCAGGCACCAATGGACAGGGAGCGTGTTCAACAGGACAGACAGGTAGCAAGGTGGGCACACCTGTGGCTCCACCACACCAGGCCTGGTGGCCTATGGCTCTCACACCACAGGAGGCCAATGAGGCCTTGAGAACTGAGTTTTCACAGTGAATAATCTGTGGCAGTGTGAAGAATGGATCAGAAAGGGGGGGGTCCAGGGTGGTTCTGGCAGTCATACAAATTAGCATAGCAGGGCCAGGGATGTAGCTCAGCAACACGGCACCTGCCTGGCAAGTGCCAGGCCCTGAGTTCAATTCCCAGCACCAGAAAGAAAAACAAAAAATAGGCCAGCATTAGGGAAAAGACTATTTATTCAGTGAACAAACATTCTAACAATGCTGGAGGAAGCAGCCTGACACCACCATGGCCAAGGGAACGTAAAGGAACACAGCTGAACAACACTGTCTGGACAATTCGCCTTTTGCTTTTTGTGACAACAGCAGCAAGTGGGCAGCAATCTTCAGTGCAGATCACGTTCGTCAGGCTACCCAGCCACTCCTGAATGCTCCTGCCTCTGACTCAGAGACTGAAGCAGATTCCTTCCACCCCAAATAAGACCATCTGGCACAACAGCCTATCTGCTACACCCTGTGTCCACCGCCAAACACTATGTCTTCCCTGGCTGGACAGTCATGGCCGGGTTTGCTTGCTCTCACTTACAGCAAGCCTGGCACCTTTGCTCAGGTGCAGGTGTCAGCGAGGCCCTCATTGTCAGGATCCCATCCCCAGCTATGCTCGGACAAGACGGATTAGCACTGGAGACCAGTGCTCTCTCGGACCCACTTCTGATCCACGGTAATTTCTCTGCCTCCAAGCAACACTGCCACAGCAACCCAATGGCTCATTCTGCATGACTTTTCTTCGGAGGCACCCACTGCAGTTCACCTTGAGGATAATTAGGGATGCTGTTTGTTGTGTCTCCTTAAGAGCACCGCAGTTTCAGTACAATGACACAGCACCTGTGGGACCTTCTCCTCCACGCAGAAGAACCAAACTGCATACAAGGGAACCCTAACCCTGATGCCACACAGCGAACTCTCACTTTCCTCTGAGCAAAAGGCAAAACAAGAGAGCACAAAGCACAAAGAAGATAAAATTCCCAATCCAAGTTCTTTCTTTTTTTAGCTCTGGGATGAACGCAGAGGCTGACATAATCCTTACCAAGAACTGTCAAAGTAGCAAGAGCGAAACAAACGGGGCACTGAAAAAAGTATTGACATTTCCTCACCGGAGAACAAACGCAGCAACTGTAAGGAAGCGTAGGAGGGAGGTGCGAAATCTTGCCCACCATACAGTGTGCAGGGAAGAATGCCAGGCAGGGCGGCATGAGAAGCGAGAGCAAGGAAGGGAGGGAGACAGGACTCAAAAACAGCAAAACAAGGCATGAACAGGACTGGCCAGGCGTGATGGTGCAAGCCCGCAATCCCGGCACTCAGAAGGCTGAGGCAGGAGGACCACTGTGAGTTTAAGGTCAGCCTGGGCTACATAATGAGACCTTATCTCAAAACCAACCAACCAACCATACGCAGGAAAATGCCAGGCAGCTTAAACAGAATGTTAGGTCCCCGTCCAGGAACCTCACTCCTCTTAATCAAACAGCCTGTCCATGAGAGGATTTCTGATTCCAGCTATGCAATGCTTTGGTGAATAAATACGGAAACTAAGTATCTGGTCAAATGAATCCATTTCTCCCAATCCCCTTTATATCCCACCTCCTTATTATTTACCCCCATTTCCTGCCTCTGACAGCTTCTCAAACACTCAGGGGGACTTCAGTGCCATCTTTGAAACAAAAGCTCCCTGATGTTACTGGTTCTAATGATCACATCCTCATAATTTAAGGGTTACTCAGTGAAGACACGTAACTTTTTTAATGGAATCGTTGGAAGAGTGTGGTGGTATTCTAGCTTGACAGCTGAATTATTTTTGCATGCCTGAAAAGTAAGAAAAACTTCCAAGAAAGACAATGGAAACATGGTTTCTGAAAAAGCTGACGCCCTCTCTAAGTCACACTACTCTTATAGAGTAAAATGGCGAAAAGAATGGTTACTGCCTCCGCCCCACTGCAAACGACGGGTCTCAAAACTACGGGAACTGCTGTGCTTTCTTCTAGTAAATCAAAGTACCTCCACCCTTGTTTCCTGCCAGTGTACAGTCAAGAGAAAGAAAGGAGAACTTACCCAACATCTCTTCTTTCAGCCTTTCATTACGTTCTTCGATTTGCTTAGGTAATCTCTGAGGGAAAAGCCAGAAACAAGGATTGATGAAAAATTCTTTGCCTTTATTTTGAATTTTGGAAACATTTAAAACTCAATGCACAGAGATCAGTTTGGAGATATAAATACAGAGGTGCACACCTATAATCCCAGCACATGGGAGGAGGAGGCAGGAGGACAGCTGAAGTTCGAGATCAGCCTGGGCTACAAAGTGAGCTCAAGGCCAGCCTGAACTGCCTAGCGAGAGCCTGTCTCGAAAAGACATGAAAAAATAAATAAATTCAGTGGCACCACAAACTCATGAATCTGATTCTTTCCACCATTCCAGTCTCAAACCAAACTCGTCGAGAACCAAATCAAATTGAATGGTTAGGCTCAATGTTGACTTTAAGGGAAATCTGATTCCATTTGCAACCAGAATTATGGAAAGAATTAAGCCTGTGAACCGAGGCATCACTGTACTGTATGTTTGTGGGTAAGCTACACAGAAGAGGTTTATCTGGTGTACTGTTAATAGTGTCAGTTCTTAGCAGAATGCCTACCATAAAGGAGGACCTCAAGGAAAATTTGGTAAATTAAATATAAACAACATTTCTTGAAAGCCTGGCATGATGGCACACACCTGTAATCCAGCACTTGGGGCTGAAGCAGGAAGATCCCAAGTCTGAGCCAATCTGGGCATGCTAGTGAGTCAGTGAGACCCTATCTCAAAAACAAGCAAAAGGACTGGGGGTGTATCTCAGTGATCTCCTAAGCCTGCTTTTCTCAGAAAGCTTAAAATCTGATAAGAAAAACGGCTACCAATAATTTAGACCAGATTTTAAGAGCTTTATTCTTTTGCCTCATTTTGTAAATTAAATCTTCCTACCATTCAGAGAGATGTTAACAAGTCTGATAAAGATGAAAATTAGTTTTAAATTGCTTTTATAGCTTAAGCTATCAAAATCAGCCTTCTCTCACTACTCCATGTCCACATATATTTTATTTACGTAGATATTTAATTTGCACCTGAGATAGAAATACGAGGTTTCGAAGCAAAAAGATTGGTACTGCCAAGGCCAAGAATAGCAGGCACTTAAAGAAAGGTAAGGTTGGCTCAGGCTGTACTCAGCTGGAAATGTGCAGGGCATAAGTCTTCCATGGGATGGAGGATGGTAACCGGATGAGAACCTGAGACAGACCAGAGCTGTATCGCCTGGAACACCGAGAATCACTCTGGCCCAACTGGAGTAACTACAGTATATAGAGTTCCCCTGAGCCATGGAGATTTCAGGGTTACACTCGCCACTTTCAGAATGGCTGCTACATGGCACACGGTCATGGTGCGTTTGCAGCCACCACTTCAAAGCCCGAGCTCCCATACCGTTTGCTACGCTTAAACATGGACCTTAGTTATGCCCCAGTGGATTACTTAAGATTCACCGAGTATCAGAGTAGAAGGAAAACCACTTATAAAAATATATAGGTCTTACCATACAAGCTTCTCTTGCTTGATGCACTGATGGATCCTTTTCTAGTATCGCTTTATAGTCTTCCAGAGCTTCATCTAGTTTGTCTGTCTTCTCGTACAACTCTGCTCTCCTCAGGATCGCCCTGATGTAGCTGGGGTTTAACTGAATTGCTGCAAAAAGAGAAGAAATGATGATTTCACAGAAAGAAGAGACCCAGGAATCTTTGGTAGTATCAAATTCACTCACCGACCATCTCCCAAGGGTCAAAGTCTGTGCTTGTGGTTGGCAGACTTTTTTTCTGTGCAGAGGAAAACAGTAAAGATTTTGAGACCTGTGGGCCACAGCCAGCCTCTGCTGCACTGCCCAGCAATGCCTGTAGCATGCCCACAAGTGCAGACCCTATGCAGACCTGCGGTGCCCCTGTGTTTCAATGCACCTTTGCTTCTGGACACTGCGGCTTGGGTTTCAAGTTGATTTTCATGTACTGTGAAATATGATCTTTCTTTTGATTTGATTTCTAGTCCAGGCGTCCTCTGCCTGTGGGTGGTATGGAAACAGGTGGCCATGGACTTGGCTCTCGGCTTTAGTTTGCCGAACTCGGGACTGTATCCTAGTCCCACTCTTCGTTTCCTCGTCCTCCACCCCATTCCGAGCAGGCCTGACACAGGGGTGAGGTGCACAGTGCAGGAGTGAGGCAGGATGTGAAGGGGAGCTGAAGGGGGACTGGCAGCTGAGTCCTACCACTCTCTTTTTCCCCAGGACTTAACTCCCAAGGTCACATTTCTAGCTGAATGCTCACTGTCCCTTCACAAGACACTTCAGGACCTTTTTCCTCTACCTAGCAACTACTGCCCTTATAATCTTTTGGTGGGTTTTTCTCATTGATCTCAGACAGGGTCTCACTACGTAGCCCAGGCTGGCTTTGAACTCACAGTGGTCCTCCTGCCTCAGCCTCCCAAGTGCTGGGATTACAGGCACATGGCCCGGCTACCTTTGCTGGGTTTCTGATTCATGTACACTCTATTTCTCCTGCTGCCTTCTGAGCCATTTCTTTTCCTATTAGACAGGAATGTCCTGGTTCTAAAATAGTTTTGTCTCTTGATATAATAAGCTCTTAATTTTCATTCAGTCATGTTGTCAGCAAACACTGGTTAGTAGCTCATCTATGCATCTAATTAGTATGTCAGGAGGATGGTGGTAAATAGCACAAAGTCCCTGTCCTAATGAAGCTTCCCACTGTTCTAATACAGTGAGAGCAGGCAGCCACCCAGGGAAACAATTTCAGAGTGCCACGAGGAGAGACAAGGCGGTGTGCACACAGTGGAGCGGTGACCTCTGCAGGGGTGCTCACAGCAGGAGCACAGTGGAGGCCAGTCAGCGGGCCCCACAGTGGGTCGGGCAGGTGCTCTGACAGTAGAAAGACCGTGGCCAGTTACCAGCACAAGAACAGCAGGGAGGTGAGGCTGAAGGCACAGGGAAGGACCAGGCCACGGAGGCCTTCCGGGTCAGGGGATGGGAGCAGGAGCTGGACCTGAAGCACGATGGCTTCCAAGTGAGTGTGAGCCATAATGGGGTTTGCACATTCACTCAATCGTTCATTCATTATGGCACTCAGAGTCAAACTCAGGACCTTGTTTTTGCAAGGCAGGCGCTATGTCACTGAGCTACATCCCTGGCTCCTGGTTTGCACACTTAAAGGACAGCTTTGGCTGCAGGGAGTGAAAGCACTGTGGCCAGAGGGGGGGGCTACTGCAGGGATCCCACTGAGACTAAGATCCAGGGGCTTCCAAAATGTTGACGTTGATAAGAGAAGTTGGCAAAGGAGAATAAGAAAGAATGGCCAGCAGCCAAGTGTGGTGGCCCATGCCTGTAATCCAAGCACTCAGGAGACGGAGGCAGGAGGATCATCCGAGTTGGAGGCCAACCTGGGACACACCATGAGTTCAAGGCCAGCCTGAACTGCACCCCCTCTCAAAACAAATGAACAAACAAGTAGGCCTGCAAATGGAGAACGCACACAGGATGCCTCTAAAATGTAATGGAAAAGCCAGGCATGGTTGTGCATGCCTGCAATCCCAGCACTCAGGAGGCTGAAGCAGGAAGATGGCCACTAGTTCGAGTGACTTCAAGGCTAGTCTGAGCTACAGATTAAAACCTTGCCTCAAAAAGACAAAACAAAACAAAACAAAACAAAAACACAAAACAATCAAAGAAACAAAAACAACACCCAACAACAAGGAAATATTAATGAAAAGAAAGCAACACCTGGACGTGTCTTGGTGACTTTTTAAAATTTCAAGGATAAAGAAAAAGGCTTGCAAGTATCCAGACAGAGACAGTAGGTTATCTAGGCAGAAGTCAGACTGATTCCAGATTTTTCTCTCACAATTCTGAATTTTTTCTTTCGATCAAACTCAGGACCTGCTTGCTAGACAGGCGCTGTGATGCTGAGATACATCCCTGGCTTCTCTCATAGTTCTAAATGCCATAAGATAGTGGAACAGTATCTATAGAACTGTAAGGAAAAATAATTCTGAACCAAGAAGTGTATACTCTGCTAAGTTATTATTTCTACATGAAGGCAGCTGGAAGACATTGTCAGATTCCATGCAGTTAAGAAAGTATATTGGCTGAGTGTAGTGGCGCATGCCTGCAACATCAGCACGTGGGAGGCTGAAGCAGGAAGATCACTGCAAGTCCGAGACTAGCCGGGGCTACAAAGTGAGAGTGAGACTTCCCAAAAGTGCAGAGCGAGACCCTGTCTCAAAAAGACGAAATGCACAAAGGAAGTATATTGAACAAGAATTTTCTCTGAAGAATCTGCTCAATGATTTTACTATAGTTAATGGAAAAATTTGAAATAACTAATGAATAAGGACACAATTACACGAAAGATTTGATGACAATCATTAAAACTAGTTAAGAAACACTTTTCTTTTACAGTTCAGGCTGGCCTTGAGCTCACTTTGTAGTCCAGGCTGGCTTCAAACTCATAGCAATCCTTCTGCTTCAGCGTCTGAGTGCTGCAATTACAGGCACTCAGCCTAGAAGCACTAAGTCTAAAATTGCTACATGTAGGATTATAAAACTAAATGAAAAAATTGGTTTGTAAAATACATCTATATTTTCAGTTTATATAGTTTTCTTTCTTTCTTTCTTTTTTTTTTTTTTTTAATTGAGACCAAGTCTTGCTATAGTTCAGGCTGGGATTGAACTCACTACATAGCCCAGGCTAGCCTCAAATTTGCAGAGATCATCCTGCCTCAGCTTTCTGAGTGCTGGGACTATAGACATGTGCTACTATCCCCAGCCAGTTTATATAATTTTAAACTGTCAAAATACATGCGAAATATTCAATGTATTAGACAAGTAAATACTACTTTTCTCATGCAATAAAGATGCAAGTTACTATTTTTTTGTTTTTTTTTAAAAAGACTAGTCAAGTCCCCCACTGCTAAATTTGACTGGCTTAAAAAAAAAAAAAAAAGACTAGTCAAGTGCAGTAGCGAGAAGGGGGGAAAGAGTAGAACAAGGAGTTCAATCTGTACTGACTGAACAATCAGTTGAGATAACTCACTACCTTCGGACCAGCCTGTTTTTGGTTTGTTTGAGACAATGTCTTCCTGTGTAGCCAGGCTGGCCCCTGCCTAGCCTTCCAAGTGCTGGGATTACAGGGGTGCACCACCCCACCTGGCTAACGATGTGTGTTAAACCAGAAGTGTGTTAAAAGTGCTTTATCACTGTGGATAGGACAAGAACAGTAAAGACATTCTAAATGTTAACATGGCTAAACTGGAAAATGGTACAGTTTTATCTCTTAAAAAAACTAGCAAGTTCATAAAGTAAACAGTGATATTGTAAGAAGAAAACTTCCAAACTATGGTTGAAGAGGGGTGGCTGTGTTTAATCTACTAAACTGGGAAATGAGGAATTAGTGCCACAGATGGTAGATCATAAGTCATTCGTCCTTGAGTTGCAGACAAAAATAGTACATATGCATTCCAAGTGTCTGGAACTGAAAAAAGGTAAAAAAAAAAATAAATAAATAAAAAGCAACAAAAGAAAAATATTAAGGAGGCATTAAATTAGCACAAAACATACTGACAGAAAGATAGAGGTGAATTATGCTAATAAACTGGTTAAGTCCCAACTAATAAAATCCAAATTGAGTAAAAAAAATTATTTTCTGATGTATAATACAATGGTTAAAAGGGTCATAGAAACTCTTTAGCTTATAGAAATGGAGAGCAACATTTGTTTTAGGCAGAAGCAAAGAAACTGCAAAATATTTCACCTGTAAGAGACCATGCCATTCATGTTTAAGGTTATTGTTTAGTATCTTGACATGGGTGGTAGTTTTACTATTATAAACTGATACATATTAAAAACATATTTAAAATTAGTACATTTTATGTACTCAAACTTCCCTAAGTAATCCTTTATTAAAGGGAATAGACATAGCAAAGAAAGAAAGAAAGAAAGAGATAGCTTTCAATTGTTCTTTGCATATTTATTACCACAAGAGAAACTGGCTGAACTACCCATTCAAAAGTACGCTTACTCTGAGACAATTACTATCAGTCATCTGAAAATGCTGAACTATAAAGGCCCAGAGGAAGCATACACAAGTTCTAGTGCATCCCTGTGGAAAAACCCTGTGTCTGGGGAGCTGAAGTACTGCTTATGAATGCCATCGGTACCAAGAAAAAGGAGCTTGTACCTTTGCTGCAGTCATTGATGGCTGCCTCCTTCTTGTCCTAAAAGGAAACACAGACATTAATACATATTACGCTAGTTCTATCTTAGTGGCTCAAAGGCCCACTGACATGGTCATTAATAATTGTTCATGGAGATAGACAGTGCTTTCCAAAGAAATCTCATGAAAATATGCATAAAATCCAAAATTAATAATGGACCTAAAAGCCTCCTGGAAACAAATATTCTAGTAGCTTCTTTTCCTTGAAGATTGTTCTAACTAACCTAGTACATTTTTAAGGCCTGTTATGGTAGAATGTGGACACTGAGAAAACTTTGTGATCAATAAACAGAGCAACTGACATATGAAGAAATCGATTAATTACCCTCCTCTTTGACTAGCTGTTATATCACATATAACATGGATCTTCCAGAAAGCATACAGAGTAGACAGTCTTCCTACAGACAGACAGTATAGCTTTTCATGTAATCTCGATTACGAACATGAACTTATCCACTGATGAGACAAAAATACTGACAATTCACCAAATTTATATAGATATGCACACACACACACACACACACACACACACACACATATATGCATATGTCTACATCAATCCAGATAAAAATGTACATAATAGGGGCCAGGGATTTAGCTCTGTAGCCTAAGTGCCTGTCTGGCAAGTGCAAGGTCATGAGTTCGATCCTCAGTACCAAAAAAAAAAAAAAAAAAGTACATACTATATGATGCCAGAAAAATCTGTATAAGGCAAGGTACATAATAAACACAGTACTTTAGCTGGGCATGGTGGTGCACATGTGTAATCCCAGCACTTAGGCTGGAGGGTCACTGTGCATTCAAGGCCTGGGCTACATAACTGAGTTCAAGACCAGTCTGCATGACACAGCCAGACCCCGCTCACCAAAAAAAAAAAGTACTTTGGAATAAATCCAGGGACTTTGCACTGAGCTACACACATCCTCGGCCCTTTTAAAATTCTCTAAATTGAAGAGGCTGGGCTTAAACTTGTGATCCTCCTGCCTTAAGACTCTAGAGTTAGCTGGGATTACAGATATGCAACACAGCGTTTGGCCTCCTTTTCTGATTTTAAATACTCTGTTCTTTTGGGGATTTGCCTGCTCTTCTGTAGCTCACCAGACCAGAGCAGCAACTCTGCTCTAACTCAGGTTTGCTATTTCCCTCCTTATATAGAAAATACGAAGTTTGGCTAGTTATATTCAGTCAGTGATGCTGAACTTGTGAACCTATCTTTCTGAAACTGTAATTCTTAAGTAGTTTACCTAGCATTTCTTGGAAAATACAAAATACGCTCATTCAGCTGCATCAGTGTACTAATCCTGGAAACTTTCCAGTCTGTTAAGATCTTAAAGTATCAAAAGTGCAACTTAAAAACCAAAAACACACTAACAAGACTATCTTTGTATAGAAAATAGTAACAGAGCAATGCTCTTTGAAGTTTGCACACAAAAGACTATAACACCATACATTTTCCTGACTCAAAAGCTCGGTGCCAGGCATGCAGGTGCACACTAAGCTCATGAGGAGGCGGCAAGAGGATCAAAAACTCAAGGCCAACCTGGAGTGCATACTGAGTCCCCGCCCCCAGATATCAGAAAAACTAGTCTAGAATGATGGGCTAAGCCTAGAAGTATCACTAACTTAGCCTGTTGTAGAATAGAGAATCCCAAAGCTCCACGAGTCAAATGGACCTTTTCCTCTGCCAATGAAAGCACCCTGGTTCACAAACTACAGCATCAATGTCCAGGCTGACAATGTGGCTAGAGGGAGAAGCAGATGCAAAATGATTAGAATTTATTTGCTATGTATAAAAACTGTTAAATGTAAATTCTGATCACTGGTAGACTACATTAGTAGCTTTTTAAAACTTTCTTTGTTTAGTGAGACAGGGTCTTGCTATGCAGTTCAGGCTGGTCTAGAACTCAAGGCAATCCTTCTGGCTCACCCTCCCAGAGTGCCAAGATTGCAGGCGTGCATCTGTAATCCCACACCCAGCCTGTATGTTTTGATATTTTAAAAAAGACAATTTTTTTTTTTTTTTTTTTTGCAGGGCTGAGAATTGAACCAAAGCCCTTGTGAATGGGCTCAACTGCTGAGTCACATCCCCATCCCTTTTTAAAAATTTCGAGACAGGGTCGGTCCCATTAGTTGCCAGGCCAGCCTCTAATCTGAATCCTCCTGCCCAGGTTTCCAAGCCATCAGGATTATAAGTATGCACCACTCCCACCACACGTGGCTAAATACAATTTATTTTTTATTTTTTTTGTCTTTTTCGTTTTTTATCGGTACCAGGGATCGAACTCATGACTCCTGCTTGCAAGGCAGGTGCTTATGCCGCTGAGCTAAATCCCCAGCCCCTTAAATACAATTTAAAATAGACTTAAAATAATTGTATTATTTTTCCTAACACAAAATGTTGGTCTGTAAATTCTGTAAAATTATTTTTTGTCTCTTGCCACATCAAACACTCCAAAAACAATTTACCTTGGAGACCAAATCCAATCATGTAAGTTCTAGTTACAAACAAAACCCTTTTTGTGTGCCCAAGTATTCAAGCACACATTTTCCTCCCCACCACAGGGTCCTTCTAACAAAAAAACGTGGTCACCCAAATTGGGTTGAGCAGAGGCACTGGAGAATTCAGGCACTATCAAGAAAGTGATGGTAAACACCTGATCTAAACCACACGACCAACCAACCAACCAACCAACCAACAAAATCAACTTCCACCTTGCTCGAGCCAGCTATGTTATTGCTTAAATGTATGTTAGCTACATAACTACAGATTAGGTAGCTATTCTAGAGGCAGAAAGCAGTAGCTAAACAATGGCCATATATTTTTTTTAATTGGTACAGAGGATCGAACTCACGACCACACGCTTGCAAGGCAAGCGCTTATGCCAATGAGCTAAATCCCCAGCCCAATGGCCATATTTTCTTTTAAAAAAAAAAAAAATCTTTTTATTTAAATACAGCCAAACTAATTGACTAAGAAAACTAGACTCAATGGCGACGAATTTTACTGTCAGTGCCCCTGTATAAAATAAATGTATTTGTACTCATACCTACTCTACACTCACCCTCCATAGCAGTTCTGAATCTTTTGGAAATGCAGAGAGCATCTGAACCATTCTTTGACATCTACTTTGCATTTTGAGACAGGGTCAGTCCCCTGTCAGTCATTAGTTGCCAGGCCGGCCTCTAATCTGAATCCTCCTGCCCAGGCTCCCAAGCCATCAGGATTATCAGGACTGATGGGTACCAGGAACTGAACTCAGCACTTCATGTTTGCCAGGCAGGCACTGCATCACTGAGCTAAATTCCCAGCCCTGTACTTTGCATTTAAGAGAGATTTTCATTCTAATTGCTAGATATTTCACAGCGTGTTCCCATTTTCACAAATAAAAAGCAGTCTTAGGAAGACATGTTTAAGTCTAGAGAGTTTTGTTTATTTTTGTCTTTTTGAGACAGGGTCTTGCTGTGCAGTTCAGGCTGGCCTTGAATTCACTTTGTAGCCCAGGCTGGTGGTCAACTTGCAGTGATCCTCCTGCCTCCCCTTCCCGAGTGCTAGGGTAACAACAACACCTCGCTTTAAGTCTAGAGTTTTAACTAGTATTTCTCTGTGCCTTTAAGTCTTCATCTAGAATTCCAGAAGTCTAAAATAAGCAGCTGTTGCTATTCTTAGACCTGCACTACTTGGCTCCGTGCTTCATTAACCTGCCCTAGTTCAGTGGAAACTTGCCATCCTTCCTTCCATGCAAGTATTCACTCAATCACTTTACAGAGGAAGGTCAACAGTAGTCCAGAATATTCTTCTATTCTCCTTGCATCCTTTGCATCAGGGAAGTACACATATAGGAGAAGAAAAACAGAAACTTTAAGCCCCTGTGTTGGTTTTGGAGAGAACTATACTAGGCAACACTGCACGATCATGTGCTTTGTAAAAAGAAAAGGTCAAAGACACACACCTGTTTCATCCTTGCAGCGGCTCTATTAGAAAACAGAATGGATCTGTCTTTCTGGAAGCATGCCGGGCACATCTGAAGGGCCTGACTGTAGGAGCTCTCAGCTTCTGTGTAATCTGGGATGACAAGGTAAAGAACAAGCAGTCAGCGTTTTATTTCTGATACTACTGAGTTCCACAGACTGTCAGGACGCACAGCTTTCCATGCTCAGGACGAGGGTTTCGATTCTTTCCTCCTCATCTCTTGTCACCGAGACAGTGTTCTTCATGCTATTCCCCAGGGCATCTGAGAAACAAAGGCTGAACGGCGTGGCAGTGAGGAGCACACAATACATGGGGTTGCAGCTGCCCTTCAGCAGATGGAGAGCCTTTGAGAGCTCAGTGACAACCAACAACAGCTGCAGCACACCTGCCACAGGAGTCGCCACCACTGCCCTAGACACTCAGCTTTTACTTGGGTTAGTAGTTAAGAAAGGCATTTTGAGAGGGGCTAAGGAACTGAAGATGATAGAAGTTGAAGTGTGAGATCCATAACTCAGAATAAAACAAAGTAATCCACGGCCAGGGGGCGGCTCAGTGGTAAACCATTGGTTTGGTATGTGCAAGACCTTGTGTTTAACACCCACCACCAGAGTGGGGGGAAACCCTACATACGTATTTTCATTGAAACTATTATGCTTTCATGAGTCAATCTGACTAAAACTGTATCTATGCAACGTTTGCAGAGATCCATTGTGGAGCTGAAATACGTAAAAACACACTTAAAGATCTTAAAAGAGAAAATACAAGGTAATTTATATATTCATTATACACACAACTGCAGTCAGGATACTAGGAAAATACTGTCTATTTACTCCCTTGTATTTGAAACATTTAATATTCATAACCATGAGACCCATTAGCTATGGTCCAGGAATATAGCTCAGTGGCATAGCACCAGGGAAATGTGAGGTCCTGAATTCAATTCCTGGTACTAACAACAACAACACAACAACAACCCACCATTAGTTCTATTAGAAATATTGCCGGACATGGTGGCACACACCTGTAATTTCAGCACTCGAGAGGCTGAAGTAGGAGGATTGGGAAGCTGAGGTAGGAGGATTACCATGAATTCAAAGCCAGCCTCAACTACATAGTGAATTCAAGGCCATTCAGAACTACACAGACCCTTGTCTCAAAAACCCCCCAAACACATCATTAGTTCTACTAGAAAAAAAAAAAAATGATTGCCAAATCAGGATACAAGAGAAAAAATTTAAACCTAAAAATAGAAGAAAATGTTAACACTCCTAGAATTTTTAAAGCACATGTACTTTGAGATCTGACAGAAAGCTGTTAGAAAGATCAGTAGTTTTTCCAAATTACTGGAACAAAACCCAACTGATTCCTAAATAAATGCAGGAAATGCAGGACATGAAAAACATTCCTCTACTTAAGGCATATTAACTTAAGAGTGGGGAATGTAGTCTTTTCCTCAGAAGTATCATCATCAGGAGCTTAGGTCTTCAATACAGGACATTTGGAAGTGGAACCTCTAAGATTCAGGGCCTGGTGGGAGGCCCTAAGGTCACTGGAGATGCTGTCTAGAATGGAACATGGATCTCCTGGGTTGAGTCCTAAGGACAGCAGGTTGTTATAAAAGCTGGAGTTCTAGTCTCTTTGGTTTCCCATTTTGAGATGTAATCGGTTCCTCTTGCAATAGTCATTCCGTTTGCTATGGGACACTGTTACAGTTTGTGTCTAGATAGCCCCCTAAAGCTGCATGCAGTCACGGGGGCAGGCTTCAAAGTTTGTGAATAATTCACGGCTCAATGCTGGGATTATGGGTGTGGCCTACATACAATATAAGGAGCAGAAAGAGTCCTCTCTCTGGGCTCTTCCCCTTCTGCTCTGGTTGCATGCACTGTTTTCTGCCACTATGAATTACTGCCCTCTGCTGTGTACCTGTTTGCCTTGGGGCCAGCTGATTACGGACTGAACCCTCCACAAACTATGAGCTAAATAAACCTTTCCTTCTCTAACTTTGGGTGTCAGTTATTTTGTCCCAGCAACAAGAGAAAAGTAACCAAGACAGACACTCACCAGAGGAACCACTATGTCCTTTGCATTTGTAGACTCCTAAATTGTGAGCTAATTAAACTCTTTATAATATTGGCCCTCCTCAAATGTTTGGTTTTAACAACTAAAAGCTAACAGCTTTAACACAGCCAAAGAAAAAACAAGTACATTCCTAGGCTGGAGTGGCTGGGCCTGTTTTAGAGCACTTGAGGAGTGGGACCCGTTTACAGCAATACAGTGAGGTCAGTGTTTTCCAGAGCAGCAGCCGAAGTTTCACCTGATTGGTGGAGCGATAAAGGAAAAAACAAAACAACTATGCTTGTGCCAAAGAGACATATGATAACTAATTAATGTCAATTGAGAATGATTTGGAACTGGTTAAAAAAAAAAAAAACCCAAATTTCAGGTATGAAGGCAACAGTGTATTGGGAAGAGCTCAAGTTTGCTAGCTATTTCCAAATATTCTCTGCTATGTTTTCATAGACTCTAAAATGATATGGTGAATCAAGACAACCAGACAATGTTAAAATTTATCTTACCTCCTTTCTTAAACTGTGCATTTCCTTCTTCCTTTAGTCTAGTGCTCTCTTCTCTTCTTTTCTGAAAGAGATCAGAGTATTATGTGCTTTATCCCTTAGCACTTGACTGCTTTGAAACTCATCAAATTTGGTACTTGATTTTGTTTTTCTTTGTCTTTTTGAGACAGGGATTCACTATGTAGTCCAGGCTGGCCTCAAACTTGCATGGATCCTCCTGCCTCAGTTTCCTGATTGCTGGGATTACCAGCATGCGCCACCATGTCAGGCTCAATATGTCTTGATACAAAAACTTGTCCTAATCCTCATCCTTTGGCATTTGACACATAAGTTAGAACTTGTCAGTGTTTATTTACTACCTAACTACTCACTACCCTTTCCAATCAAAATAATTTCTTTGGTACTTGTTGATTTTGGTACCCATGGTGCCTCCCAGAACCAACTAACAGCTAGTGCTCAGACACCACTGCAATTTTTCACAATATTTTAGTGAACAAAGAGTTAAAATTTTTTTTACATACAAAAGACAGTGGTAGAAAAGCCTGCCTTGCAAGGGCAAGGTTGTGAGTTCGGTATTCGGTACAAAAAAAAAAAAAAAAAAAAAAAAAAAAAAAAATATATATATATATATATTTTACAAGTCACTTACCATAGGCAGTAAGTTAATTTGGAGAACTGGGTCAATTTTAACTAAATCTGTGATAGAGAAAACACATGACCATCTAGCTAATCACTCATTGCATTCTTGATGTTTAAAATAAAAAACTAGATGCTTTTTAGCATGTCTTTTGCTTCCTGTTTCTATCTTTTACATGGAATGGCAATTCCAGTTTCAATTATTATTATTTTTGAGACAGGGTCTCACTCTGTAGTTTGAGCTGGCCTTGAACTCACTTTGTAGCCCAGGCTGGTCTTGAACTCTCAACGATCCTCTGGTTTCAGCCTCCCAAGTGCTGGAATTATAGGCATGCACCTATAATAGAAGCACCCAGCTTCTGTTATTATCTACTTTAAAGTGAAATGCAACATTCCCCCTGGTTTGCATAGCACTATAAAGGAAAATTCTGGCTCTACTATTTATTGGTTCCAAGTTTCAGAATCATCCTTAGCCTTAGTTTCATTTTGAAAATCAATGTTTAATAGTTTTGCCTTTTTTTTTTGTCTTTTTGAGATAAGGTCTCTCTATGCAGATCAGGCTGGCCTTGAGCTCACTTTGTAGCCCAGGCTGGTCTCGAACTCGCAATGATCCTCCTGCCTCAGCCTCCCAAGTGCTGGGATCACAGGTGTGAACCACCACACCCGGCTAATAGTTTTGTCTTAATAGTTAATGGGTTGTGATAACGTATATAAAGATTCCAATACAGTGATTTGTGAATAAGGCCTCAATGAGTACATTATGTTTCTGCAAAGTAAGTAATTTAATACATAGTGACAAGTGTGGTTTGTGTCATGAATAAAGGTAGGGTGGGAAGGTGCACTTGTAGGACGAGCTACATTTACAGGGTCAGTGCATGCCAGGGATTTAGCTCAGTGGCTCAAGCGCTTGCTTGGTAAGCATGAGGTCATGAGTTCAATCCCTGGTACAAAAAAAAAAAAAAAAAAAAAATCCACCTAAAAAACCATAAAATGCAAGGTCAGTGCAGTATGCTATTAACAGGCTGGCACAAGGAAATTTGAGGAAACTGAGATAAGTATGTCTCTTTTCTTAGTGTCCTCTAACAACTCAGAAATTCACACAAATGAGCCAGTGTGGTGGCAAATGCCTGAAATCCCAGCACTTGGGGGGCTGAGGCAGCCTGAACTATCCAGTGAGACCCTGTCTTAAGAGTTCAATCTCCAGTACAAAAAAAAAAAAAAAAAAAAAGGAAGGTATCACACAGGTGGCCGCACACATCAAGTACAGAGGCATCTGTGCGTGCTTTCTTCCAGGAGCATCATGACAACAAAACTGGCAGAAGTGTCTACAGGCCTGCGGCCCACCTTTGGACAGAAGTTTTAAAACCAGATAAGCAGAAAAGAAAGAAGGAAAAACATTACACACAAGATAGATAACTATACTACTAATCTGTTCATCAAAAAGAATGGCTTGTGCTTTCATTGTTTGATCACTTTTGCATGCCTATGTCTTACAACCTGAACCACTACTTTCAAGGTAAGATTATGCAATATATTAACCACTGTTAATTTCCTACTATTTTGTCCTGAAATTCTGTATCATTTTTATTCTTGTGTTTAAAAAAAATGAACAACAACAAAAACAAATAAGCTCCAAAAATCTCCTTTCACTCCTGAAGCTTCCGATTTAATTAAAAGTTCAAAGGGAAGAAATATAGTTACCAGATTATTTCATTGAACAAGAGAGACCTAGAGTTTAAACAACTCTCAAGATCAGGAACCAAAGTAAAAATACTGTTTCTTGGAAGAAGACCTGTTAATCTATTGATGAGACCAGAGTGCTTCCCCAAAAGTCTTGTTATTATACTCTATATAAAACAAAGCACTTGATTTAACCTTATTAAACAAACTGAAAGGTACATATAAACAATCTATTAAATATTGTGGTACCTACTATGCAAGACATACAATAATAATTTTAAGATATAGCTGAGGAAGGACTATTTAAAGGAATACAAAGCTGGGCATGGTAGCTCACTCCTGTAATCCCAGCACTTGGGAGGCCGAGGCAGGAGAATCATTCACAAGTTCAAGACCAGCTTGGGCTACAAAGTGAGCCTAAGACCAGCCGGAACTGCATAGCGAGACCCTGTCTCAAAAAGACCAAAAAAACCCACCAAAACAACAACAATAACAAAAAACAACCAAAGGAATACAGAAAAAATAAAATGGTAGTAGTACTGTTAGGAAATACAATTTATAATCCTTTTTATCTTGGAGTTCCGTAAGAGAGGTGGCTGGACTATAATGTTCTCTATTTCGTTGGTCAGGGGTTTTGAACGTAAGCAAAAGTATCTTACGCAAAAAAATGTTAGGAGCAGATTTACTGGAAAGCTATTTGCAGGTTCACACATAATGGAAGCCTGAAAAACAGGATTAGAAGAAGGCAGTAACCAAGGCAGCTTTGTCAAGAGCTGTCGAGACACAGATAGCACACGTTCTTCTGGTGAAAGAATCTCGTCATGACAGGGCGGCAATGACAGCAAATAAACCCTAACTTTCCTTTGTTCTGCTTCACTTGATGCAGACACAAGATCTTGGTCAGCAGCATCCAATAAGCCACTCATAGGTCACACAGCTTGGTGTTAGGGAATGCACTGAGGGACCTGGGTTGCTGACACTAAGATCACTATGCAAGACTTTCTCCAAATGGGAAGAGGGAATGCACACTGAAGAGCTACGAAAATCTCATGAGAAATGCAGCTAACAGTTATTTTGCTTTTTGTTTTTTTTTTTTTTTTTTTGGTACCAGGGATTGAACTCAAGACCTTACACTTGCCAGACAGGCACTTATGTCACTGAGCTAAATCCCCAGCCCCGCTAACAGTTATTTTAAAACAGAAAGTCTTCAGAGAAGAGTATTTCATCAAGTCAGTAGAGCTTAATGTCAGTGCTTCCTGAACTTCAAATTTTTTCCGCTTTCACCCTAATCTCAAATTCTTTTCTGTTCTATAATCTGCTCTTATGAGCCAACTCATCCGGAATGTTCTGAGCTCGGATGAGTCACTCAGACTGCCAGATCAGGCAGGCTCGTTCAAATTGCGTGCGAGCATGTTTGAAGAGACCACTCCTGGATGTCAGGCTGATGTGACTGAGTATCTGTTACCCTACCGATCACCAGGGCTGAGTTAGAGGCTCTGGCTGGCTAAGCAGCTGTCACCTCTCCTTCCTGACTGCTCCATGTGTGTTCTCCCTGAGCTACGTGCTCAGACACACAGAAGAGGACTGTCCTTCCATCAAGGGTACTGAGAAACTGCCCTGCTAGAACCTTCAGAGAAGCTCACTTATTTTTTGGTAAATTTATAACATTAAATTTCTGATAGGCAAAGATAAGAGCCATAGGCCCCACAAAGCACTTTCTAATAAGAGCTAACCTGAAAAAAGCCCACTATTTATTCCGAGTTAAGAGACCTGAACACTGCCTCACCAAAGAGATCATTCTCAGATCAGTTCTTCTGAGGAAGGTGTCTTAATGTTTTGGCCGCTGAATCACAACTCCACCACCCAGTAAGCAGTACATGCTGGAAAAGCGCTGTGGCTTCCCTCTCCACAATTGACGCTCAATGCAATTATCAATATCATGTTGAACATTTCCTTGGAAACAGCTAAAAATAACACTTTTGAGGAGAAAGCTGAACTATCTCCTTGCTGTGCCAAGAGACTGACTTGCTGAGTACAAAGACTGGGTGGGGTTTATTCTGCTCCCTGAGGCACTTCCTCCAAAGGCCAGCACACGCACTGGGTAATGTTTCTGATATTCAAGGACAGGCTTTACAGTGTATAGGTCGTTGCGTGCCAAGTGCCAGCAGCCCTCACAAACACACTTGCTGGCAGTGCTGGCGTTCTGCAGCACTTTCATTTATAAATCTTTCTAGGTGGTATTCTAATGTGGTCAGGAGCTCTCTTACACCTCCACAGTGCCTTTCAACGTCCTACAGAGGGGCCTCACAGGGAAACATCTGCTCTTGAATTATATTTCCGTAGAAATGGAAACCGAAGCCACTTGACAAAGCCCTTTCCTTAGTACTTCTCTCCTTGCTGAAAACTCAGGGAGAACAGTGACACTGTAAGTCACCATGAGAACTGCCACGGCAACCTCCAGATAGGCAAGGCCCTGACTGGAGTTTATTTCAGCAGTTAAAACTGCAACCTTTTCCCCCCAAATCCACTTTATTTCAAAGAGAAAAAGAGAAACACAGAAGAAGAAAGAGATAAAAACCTTTGTTCTTAAAAAAAAAAAAAAAAAAAAAACTTGCAACCTTTTCAGTTTGGTGTTAAAAGTGCTACACCAATAAGCATGTTACTGCTTATAATTTGCTGTCATGTGTGTTAGTTAACTTGTGTTTTCAAGTCAGTCTGGAGAGGTGATAACGGAGGTCTTTCTACAGA